CCCAAAATCTCTGTAAATGTTTATGAAAATTAATAAAATATAATTATAGAAAAAAACCACAATGTGTATTAATGGAATGTCAATTTGCTTTGGAAGCTTTTACTCAACTCACAATGCGGCAAGGGGGGGGGGAGAAAATGAAGGGAAAAAACCCAACCAACAAAAGTAAAAACCCACTTCCTCTAGCTGCACTCAACCTACCAAAGGATCCCATACTTTCGTGCTTTGCTCTGCCCTTTCCAGTCCTGGTCCCTTTCTAGAGTTCTCTGCTTATTATCTCAAGTTTTCCGAATCTCTGCTCTTCTGAAGATTCACATAAACAAACATATTTATTTGCCTCACACTGTGGCAGGATGAGGAATTCTGCTGGTGCTGTGGCTAAGGCATTCAATTGCTAGCCAAAAGGTCAATGGCCCAAACCTGCTAGTCATTCTTCAGGTGAGAAAGGAGGCATTCAGCTTCCATAAAGATTTACAACCTTGGCAAGCCCATGGGACAATTCTACTTTATCCTGTACATTGCTGTGATTTAAAATGGACTCTTTAGTGGTAGGTTTGGTGTGGTTTTGGAGTGGCTTCTGAAAACAGTTTTGGAATCGTTCAAAACTACTACTCCTGAGGAGTTTTAATACAAGAGAGCTAACAATTTGTTCATTAAGGCGTAGAGTTGATTATTTCATGCTGAATATTAATGATATCGTTTTAGTCTGACAGGCCACACTTTATATTAAAAACTTAAAGAGACTCTTTTCTGCACCTCCCACATTGAACAGTGCAGCTTCCTATCTCCTCCAGACACCCAAGACAAGCCTCACTGTGGCGGTGTTTTCCTGTCCAGATGGGAGTGGTCCAGTGTTCTCTACCACACAAGGACTCAGTGTCACTGAAGGTAATCTAATGCTCCTCCCCTCATATTCTTCCCACTCACCATTGGATACAGAGAGGTGAATGGGGTCACTGACGGGTGCTCCCCTTGTCTGGCATCTGTACACCCCTGGTGCCTGCACCTCAATGGTCTTCTTGTGTGAGGGTAGGAGTAGGTGGCCCAAATACCAGAGCGTGCTAATGGGTCGGAGCTCCAGGAGCAGGGGATGGTACCCATCACACCGCAAAGTGACTCGCTCCCCCTTGAAGATTGTAGTCCAGGGTGGGTGTAGAGACAGTATAGGCTTCTCCAGAGTAGCTGTGGGTGGGAGGAGTATGGAAAAGAAAATCAAGGAGAGATCCTCAAAGATGCAGGCTAAGTCACAGAAATCTGAAAAACCCCAGGTTCCAGGACCCAGTTCATGTTATTAACTCACTTTATATTCATCAGGCCAAGATTATTAGTCTACTCACACCAAATTTACTGGGAAAGTGGGTAACTGAGTTTGTAATTGAGTTACAGGGATTGAAAGTAAGTAGGGCTTGTTAGTTAAATTTGTGTCTTCTAGGCTGCAACAGTTCCATGATGCATCTTCAAGGATATGAATATGTATGACTGAGCACAATTGATAACAGTGAATCTAAATTTCAAAATCAATCTCCACAATAGTCTACCTGTTTCCTACTTGCCCTTTAGAGTAGTGAGAGAAGATCTTTACACTGAAACCTACAGCATCCCTTTTCAGAAGGAAGTAGCTAAGAGAATACACCTTCCCCTTTTCCTTATGAATCAGGGTGAATTCTCTCTCAGGGAGGAGTGATAGGGAATGGCAAAGGACACACTGACAAAGGAGATTAATCAGAACTGGTTTTGACAAGCACTGTGGCAATGGGACAATTAAACTTTCAAGGAATATTCCACCTGAATCCTTCTGATCATATGGAGATTTTTGAAAGTATTTCTTTGAGTTTATTGTGTTTAATTTGTTTTATTTGTTTGTGTATAAAGGATGCTCATCTAGATGGTAACGTAATTATGATAAAAACAAAAGGGGGAAATATGGGAAGCCAATACTAAATATTTGTAATAAACTGAATGCTATATATATATGTAATAAACTGGATGCTATTTAAATTTTTAAAAAAATAAAATAAAAAGAGAAACAAGGTGGGGGGAAGTAAGTAGGAATGGACATTCTTCCTGAATAATCAGAAAGTGATGTGTCTGTTCAAGCAGATCACTTAGGGGGCTTGGAAGAGAGACTATGGAAAACTGGGTTGAAGTATATCTGAGACTCACCAGCTTCTCCACTGCTTGGAACTGCAAAACAAGAAATAAAACAAGAAAGAGAATGAGAAATAGGAGGAGGAAATGGAATACGTGGCTAATTAGCTTCGTGAACAACTGCTTTACTGTAAGCCAGGAGACCTGGATAGTGCCCATTTATTATTACTGAATATTTTGATCAAAGATTCTATGAAAGAATCCTGGTCAAAAGGAGGAAGGAATAGAGATAGCCTTTCTGGAGCCTACAACTCTGAGTGAAAGAACAAAATTATTCTCTTAGATAATCTTTAAACCAAAAATATGCACTGAAAAAAGCCCCAAACACCAGTTAGATTAACTAATAAAAAGTGACCCCTTGAGCATCTTCTATGAACTACCTATAGAACGTCAAATTGACAAGAGCAACTTGAAATATTACATAGGAACCTTATAAGGCAGTGAGTATTAACTTAGGGAGAAACAACTCAGAGAAGGATGAGAATGGTTACACAACCAAAGAATGTAATCAATGTCGCTGAATTCCTATGTAGAAACAGCTGAATTCATGTATGTTTTCCTGTGTAAATTCTCAATGACAAGAAATAAAATTTCAAACAAATATAAACTAAGGAAGAAAACATTTGAGATGAAAAGAAAGAAAGAGACTCTCATGGATATCAGAAAGACTGACATTATTGAGACCTGTTTGTGTTCTCTGCCTCGAATTTCTCCAGCTCTGAGAAAGCCTTATCCATCCCAAAACAGGTAATGGACCTTTTGGAATTTTCACACACGCCGACATGAATTTGTCCCTCCCTTTATCCCACCTCCCAATGCCCTAATGAGGACTCACCTAGGAGCAGGAGCACTGTCAGTGTCCACATGATAGACCTGCATGCAGCAGCTGCAGAGGAAGAGAGAGGTGGTGAATTGGGGTGGGAGAGAGAAAGAAAGGAAAGATGGAATTTAGAGAATACCAAACACTGGTTCAGTAGTAACACTGTTAGGAGAATTGTTTCTCCCACCCATTCCTTGCTCTTCATAATGGTGGACTAGAGTTGGAGGCAGGTTGGATATGCATGTCCTCTCTCCCTAGGGTACTCAAAGCACTAAGTCCTGCTCCACCTATCACCCCTAAAGCCACCTCATATCTCGGGCTAGTCCCACGCCCAGTTTACAGAAAAGGTCTGCGGATCCTGTGCTTGTTCAGCCTGAAGATCTTGAGTCTTTTCAGAGCAATTCTTGTTGTTGTGTACAGTAGAGTTAAAATGAAGTTGGAAACAACCCACAGGTGACCTTCCTGAGGTTTTAAGAGGCAGTTCATTGCATGGGAGGAGATTGCCAGGTTAAACGACTTTGTCTTGCCAAGCATCTGGTAGATTCAAGCCACACACTTTTGAATTGGCAATGCAACTCTTTATCACTAAGCCACCATAACCACGTAAATCCCCAGGTTCTGGCTGGTGACCTACAATGTTCAGGCTTTCATTGACATGACACTTTCCTCACTTCCTTCACTTTCCAGCTGGCCCAGTAAGCCTCATTTGAACAACATGACATGTCCTCATGATCTACATAGACTTTTTTTCCCCCTTCTCCTTTTTCTACTCACTCTCTGATGACAGACTTGAGACCTACCAAGGTCATTATTTGTTTCTGTAGAGCTTACTTACATCCTCTTACAGATGAGTGGACAGAAAGGGATGACTCACCAACCACTCTTTAGAGTCACCGTCTTCTAATTCCCTAGTCAAGGAGTGAAATGCAGTTTATTTCCTCTTTTCCTTTTCTTGAAATAAAAAAACCAAAACACAGAAGATCAAAAAGTGAATCAAATCCTCTGTTGTTAGGTTGGTTCCCATGCTTGAGGACCCCTTGTGTTACAGAGCAGAGTGGATCCCGAGCATTTTCCTGGCTGTAATCTTTATGTGTGCTGATCACCAGGCTTAGTTTCTGTAATGCTTCTGGGTAGATTTGAATCATCAGATTTTAGATTAGTGTGTCATTAGTACCATCCAGGGACCTCCTGAAACCTTAAAACTCAGTGTCATTAACAGACTACAACTTACAGTGATCTTTTAAGACAAAATAGAAGTGCCAATAGGATTATTAAGACTATAAATCTTTATAGAAACAAATTGTCTCATCTTTCTCCCACAGAGCAACAAATAGGTTTGAACCCCATGAGGCCACCACAGCCTTGAGTCCTCCCAAATCAAAAGACTTCTTCTGTTCCTGCTCACCCAATTAATCTCACACTATGACATCTCTACTTACTTGTTCCTTTTTCCTTCTTTCCCTTCAACCTTACCCAACCATGCTGCAGTTCCAGGATGCCTTATTTGCAGCAGAGAAGTCACTGTATCAGCTCCTTAGAAGCATCTCAGATCAGATCTTCTAGCTCTATGTGAGCTCTCTGAGTCATGTGATCATACTCTGAGCAATCGGGGAACCCGAATTTTCATGTAAATACTTAATGAATTTTCCAACCTGATAGATAGTATAGTATGTCTCCTTGGACTCTATCCTGTTGTCACTTGTGGCTCTTTAGAACTAGGTTGTCTCCTACCCTTGGAACTTGGGCAAAGGGGAGATAGATTATTCGACACTGTCAGCTCTAAGATGACATCTTCTCTCCTTTGTTTGCTGATGCCCAAAGTCCCACTCAGAAAATTCTCTCCTTTTTTGCTTTAATGTACTATTCAGTGTCAAACAATGATTGTGTGTTTGGGTGTGTGTGTGTGTGTGTGTGTGTGTGTGTGTGATTGATTCTTAAGGAAATGTGATGTGACACTATTCTGGCTGCTTCAATTTCTTGTTTGAGAATAAGTTTTGATGAAATAGAAATAGACACAAGTGGATCTAAGTAATGGGAAAGTAGCTGATAAAGTATTCAGGAGTAGAGGAAAAAGAACAGAGCTAGCTGCTGGCAGTGCAGTCCATGAACTGCTGGCTTCAGTACTGCCTAGGAAAGGCCATGCTTCTGTGTGCCCCACACTTGACTGATTTCTCACTGTGGGCCAGTGTGGGGCTTCATCATCATCTACAGCCTGTCTCTGATGGGTAACGTTATGCATCAACTTGGCTAGGCCATGATTCTTTGTAGTTCTACAGGTATTATGCAACCATACTCCATTTTGTGATCTAATATAAGCATCCAATCAACTGCAAGAGGAATTTCTTTGGGAGTGTGTTCTGCAGTGTGTGTGTGTGTGTGTGTATGTGTGTGTGTGTGTGTGTGTGTGTGTGTGTGTGCGCGCGCGCCCTCCCCCCAACCCCCAAATTTTTTTGGTAAAGCTTATACATTCTCTTGATTCTGCACTCATTTATTGGTCTGATTTCCAATTCTTGGAGAAGTCTTCAGCTGGCCACTTTACCCGGTGATTTTTAGAGTATCAACCCTGTAACTACAGGAATCAAGAGAAACATTCACTTTGCCTCCTAACCCACAGATTTGAGACTTTTCAACTCCTCACAATTGTAAGCTATTTTCTTGAAGTCATTTTCTTTGTGTTTATTTATATCATGTCACTGGTTTTGCTCCTCCGGAGAACATATCTAATGCCCTGCCTCTTTAGCAGGCCTCTCTTGAGTGTGGATGTCCACACCAGGCCAATGACCTCAACAATAAAAATGGAATGCAACTATCATTTGTCTCCTGTTTAGATTTTTAGATTCCATTTAGTCAGCTCACAACAATCCTGTGTACAGAGATAGGCCCTGCTCAATTCTGTGCCATTCTCTCAATCTCTTCTATGCTCACCGACTTCATGTTTGTGTCATATTTTCTAAAACATAGATCATAACCATAACTCCCTCACTGGATTCCGTAAGGAGTTCAACAATACTAAGTATTTGTGCTTAGTAGTCACTTTCCCATCAGGGCACTCTAGTGGCATAGTCTGTAGACAACCTAACAGTTAACCTAAAAAAGCAGTAACCTTTCTGGTGGTTTGAATCCACTATTGGCACCAAGGAAGAAAAATAAGTGATCTCCTCCCTTGTGATTTACAGCCTCTGAAAACCCACTGGAGGATCAGTTATAAGTGGACTCTGACTTGAAGGCAGAAGTATTCATGAGTTACAGAGTTTCCCCTAAAAAGCCGTGGAGCTCTGGTAGGATTCATATTATAGAGTGTTCAAAATTTGACTTGAAAAATCTCCTTATTAAAATTATTTGTAAAATATTTCTGGGCTCTTCTTTGCACTTTTCCCAAGTTAAATAATTTTGCTCCATCAAAGACTCTTTCTCCAGATCTTCTAGTTATTTACTCCTTTAATACACATGTCCCTCGAGCTACAAATAGTTAAAGACTTAGATGGTAACCTAAAGATATGCAGTTCAAATTTACTTAGGGGCAGCTTGGAAAAAAGGCTGTCAATTTCCTTCAATCACTGAAAACCTTACAGATCACAGTTCTGCTTCTACACACGTGGACTTCCTGTAAACCAGAGCTGACTCCACAGCAACCAATTTTTGTTTTTACCACACAAAGGAACAAATAAGTTAAAGTAAGAGATTAACATAAGATTTCAAAGGGCACCTTGAGAAGACAAAGAAAAAATATTATAGCGGAATGTGTCAAGACTAGACCTGGAGAATAAAAAGGAAAGAACTCACTTGGTATTTCTCAAGCTAAACGAATGGAAAAACTAATTCAAGCCTTGAATTGTAATACTGTTAGATGCCATGGGCAAAATCTTGAATGATCCAGGAAGCATTAAAAGGAGATGGAAGGAAAAATATAGAACCACTGAATGAAAAGAATGGATTGACACTGAAAAATTTCATGAAGTACTGGATGAACAAGAGCCAATAGTAATGAAGGAAAAATTCAAGCTGCACTGAAAGCACTGGCAAAAAATAAGGCCCCAGGAATTCATGGAATACCAACTGACATGCTTCAACTAACAGATGCGGCTCTGGGTGTGTTCACCAGTCTAAGCCAGGAAATTTGGAGGACAGCTGTCTCTGACTGACTAGAAGAGATCCATATTTGTTCTCATTCCCAAGAAAGGTGGTCCAACAGCATGTTGAAATTCTTGAACAATATAATTAATATCACATGTAATCAAAGTATTGCTATCAATCACTAAAACAGTACACATACAAAGAACTGCCCAGAAGTTCAAACTGGGTGCCAGTGCTTCTGAAGCCACTGTGCCTTGGTTGACTGTCAGTATGTTAGTCTAGAGTACTGCTTTGAGAACACTCAGCTGGAAATTAGTTGCAAACAGCTTCCTGGACAAGCATGAAGACCTATCCCAAGAAAACAAAGTTCATTCACAAGCACTCACAAGACCCAGAAGAGCAGCTGTGAAGGTTTAATTAATGAGAAACTAAAGTCCTTGAGAGTTTGCAGAAAATAAAGCTGTTTCTTGTGTTGTTGTTAGGATTTTCTGGGCAAATCAATAAAGCTCTGATTCTTGAAAATCCAATGACACATTTCTTTCAAGTCCCGGAGATAATTGTTGAATACATTATTTTAAGGTCCTTGAGATAATTGTTTGCTGTGTAGCAGGAAGTCTGGATATTCTAATAGTGATGGAAAGCTTGTATTTTCCATATATGTGGAGAAAAATAAATGTTCAGGGCCTTGCCTTTTGCCTCAGTCCCCTGGGCCTCGTTTTCCCTCTCTGTCTGTATGGTTTGTTGTTTTTTTGTTTCCTTAGCAGCACTGTGTCCTCAGGTCCCACCCAGTAAACAGCTACAGTTGGATTTAGAAGAGGATTTGGCTCCAGGGATATAATTGCTGATGTTAGATGGGTCCTGGCTGAAAACAAACAATATCATAAGAATGTCTATTTGTGTTTTATTGATTTGCAAAAGTATTTGACTGTGTGGATCATAAGAAACAATGGCTAACATTGAGAAGAATGGGAATCCCAGAATATTTA